AAATAAATGTTTGATTTGATTTCGATGTAATGTTGTCCTATTACAATTTTTTTTTTTATTATTATAGTCACTTTAACGCTCTTGGGTCATTCGTGACTTGTCCGGGGGTGAGATTTGAACTCGTGACTTTGGCGTGAGAGGTATGGATGCTAACCACTACGCCGGGGTCGCCCCCATGCCTATTAAAAATTAGAATGAGAGGAAGAAAGTATCTTCACATTGTTTCGGGTCCGTGTAATTCTGTTGTTGTCTTCCGCGTGGTCGGAGTTTGACTTTATGTTGCGTACCTCTTTTGCTGCAGCTGTGCCTCTGGCGGAAATAAGTAGAACTACCGATGAGGAAAGCTTGACGTGTAACGTCGTTTTATGTTTGTGTGCTCTCTTACCGTGAGCTTTGGGAAAATATTTGGAGGTGTGAGAGATTACACTGAAAAAAGGTTTCACTTAATTTCTATTATAACGCACATAATATTTTTCCAATAACAAAAATAATGATTGTTATCTGAATATCACATAGCATAAGAAATTCTATATGAGAAATCATATCGATTTCATTGGACACATAACGTTCATGTGATTTAGTGGTGCAATTAGCAATTATTGGATGACATGAAAGTTATGTGAAATTCACATGGATATTTTCCATGTTATTTATTTTATGAGTGATATGCTGTTTTTGCAATAATGGTTTCTACCCGTTCAATTTCGGTGGTAGTGAAGCTTGATCTCTTCTTTTTTGGAAGATTGCACATGAACTCACCCTGAGGCAGTCTCATCCGGGAAAAACTCAACATGGGATGCGGTCTCCTTTACTGAAGTGGCGTTTAAGCCGCATACTTAACCGAGATCGAGCAGTGACGGCTACAAACTTAAAAAAAATCCCAGCACTATGCAGTTTTGCGTATGTATAAGTCTCTTTCCATTGTTCTTATGATCGTTATTAACTTCGCTCCACTCCCAAAAACTTCTCTGAACCTTTCAGAATATACAGCTATCTCCCGAAGAACGCCTTATCCACTGAGTTGCACCCACCGCTTTTTTTCGGCGGAGTTTTATCCAGTCTGTCTGATTTTTCCATGTGAGTAGGATCAATGGAGAACTAGTCACTCGCAGAAAATCATAGCGCTTGGTTGAAAACCCACCGAGACAAAGCGGTGGGTGTAACTCAGTGGGTAACGCGTTCTTCGGGGGAAAGCTGTAGTTGATTTTCTGTGAAAGTTTTGAAGCTTCTACAATGATTCCTGAATTTTCACGAAATTTTCTGATCTATTTTAAGTTCATTAGACTTTATAATTCATTCAGTTTTGAAAGATTAATCAATTAAAGGCAGGAGCATGCTAGAAGTGCGGAGTCCAAAGTACGAGAATTTGAAGAATGTGCCAACAATTTCTAGATGAATATCAGGAAAATTAAGGGAACTTAATGTAGGAATGAAAATTCAGGACAATTTCAGAGAAACTCAGTAAATTTTAGAGATTTTAAAGAAAATTTCATGAGCTTCTTGGAAGTACACTCCCGAGCATAAGTTTAAGGACAGCTTGAGCTTGAGCTTGCTTGAGCTTGATTGACCGCCCACGGTTGCTACTCTGTTACTGCCAGATCAGCTGTAATTACACAGAGAACCAATAGACGATGCTTGGGACTAGCAATCATCCTCAATGTGTAAAAACTGGTGATCTTAAATTAGACAATACCAGCGCCGGCCGCGCCCGAACACAGGTCAAGAAAGGAATGGGAAGGATTGTGTCACAGTCGCTTTGATGGAAGCCGAGAACACCTCTGCACTTCCACGAGGAATCACTGGGATGTTGGATAAGAGGGTTGGGTTTGAAGCAGGGTTCGTTTTGGTAAACGATAAGCTGAATTAATGTCCTAACGATCATATAACGCGAAGGAGCTTGGGGCTAAACCCACGGTCTTCTGCTCAGTAAGCAAAAACGTTTGCCACTAGGCAGACGAGCACCTTTTTAATCACCGAGTTGCTGTTATTACCATGTAGTCATATTAACAAATAAAACGATTAACGAATCTTGAATGTGGATGGGCCTGAGATAAGACTCATGATGTTCTGCTCAGTAAGCAAAAACGGTTGCTCTAAGGCCACCGAGCCCCTCATATCACATAATACCGTTGCTCAAATTTGTGTATCCATTCAAACCCGGAGCCAACGACAACAAAGAGTTTCGCAAAATACACGATACACAAGCGATTTTACCATTAATCTCTTTGATATGTAAGGACCTGGGACCGCGTTTTTCTGCTCAGTAAGCAGGCCACTGTAACCGACGATCTTTCAAATCCGAAAACTAAAAACAACGAAAAAGTACTTAGGCCTTCATTAAGTTCCACTTTCACGCGACGTTCAATGACAGGGTCCTATCCAGGATTACATCTGAAAAATCCAAATCTGGCCAACGCCCACCCTAAACCTAAACCTGTTCTAACCCACCTGAAATGACTAACGAATGGAAGACTTTGACTACCCAGCCATGCAATAGTCTCATTCCGTGCCTTATGGCAACTTGATGATTCTATTGCGCTCATCTTCTGGCAACACCCAGGGGAGACTTGGTCCTGTACCTAATGCTTAACTTATCTCCATTCCCTCAGCTACTCGCAATTTCTAGTGATATAGTGGGCGGAATATTATTATATGAGACAATTCAATGCAGACGTTTTTCCAAATTTGGCAGATCGACAGGTAATCGGTGAGTTACTACGATAGTTGCTATTCAACAACTCGACAACGTCCCATCGTCAACGCCTGCTATGAGAATTTCCCATTGCAGACGCCAACGAAATGACGTCATCGAGCTATCGTTCAACTACCCTGGTTATCGCCTGGTACCTTATAGCACGATGCTAGGAGGCGAACCGGAAGAATCGATGAGCTACCTCTCCCCCTCCCGAGCATAAGTTTAAGGACACCCAAAAAAAAAACATGACAAATGGAACCTTCCTCGTAGGCAAATTGTTCAATATAATTTTCAAATTTTGTGTGCTAAAAGTTCACCTAAAGTTACAATATTTTTAAAAATTTACTCTGAAGAATCGTGACTGATTTTCGCAGAATTGGGTTGGCCAAATTTTGAAATAAAAGTAGTAGCAGTAGAATACTAAGGGATCGTCTATTAATTATGTCACACTTTTAGAGGGGAGGGGGGTTTTGGAAACTGTGACGAGCCTTACAAAAAACAATTATGGTCCATATAAAAACTGTGACAAGGGGGGGGGGGAGAATGGGCCAAATTTGACTGACATACTTAACGGACCTTCCCTTATGTTATACCTATTATACCATTCAAATAACCTTTGGAGATCGAAAATTGAACAAAACATATTGACATGGTTTTTTGCGGTGTCCTTTAACTTATCATCGGTAGTGTATGTATCGAGATCGACAGGATTTTTTTTTAAATTTATGTGTGAATTATCGAGATTCATCTCCCAAATTCAGGAACATTGCGGGAGCTTCAGGATAGACCAACGAGTTTCAAGGCAGCTCAATTAACTTTAAAAAATATTGCGGGCGCTTTTAAAAAGTTTTGAGAAATTTGAAGTATTTGCCTATGATAAAAACAACAAGGGACAAGATGGGGTTGTACGCAATGGTGACGTAGGACTACGTGGTCTTATATAATAAATCTTATTTGTTAACTGCAGCAGGAGCTTGTGTTTTGTGTAGGAATAGGAATTTGAGCGGGGTTCTCTCTGTTTATACTCTTTAGTATGACGCGCTTGACATAGATGGCCCACAATGACTCACGAAGAGCTACTGATTCCGATCAATAGCGGTGCGGCTTATTCGTCCTTCTATGGATGCTCATGTGGGCTGCAACTCGCTGCTTGCAGGCAGCCTTCAGTTGTGTGAAGGAGAACACCACCCCACCACTCACCACGCGGTGATTGAATAAACATCGTTTGGTGAGACCGAATGGAATTCAATTTTGAAATCTGTGTTAGGGAAATCGCTTTTCGCAGGCAATCCGTGATAATTTTAATTATCATAGCAACAGTTGCACATTCGTGCAATTTTCAATAGTGAAATTTTGAAAAACAGTAAAGTCTTAAAATTATCAGATGCGTAGAAACATATCTGATCGGTTGGTGATAAAATTATTGAAATCGGTCCAGGGGTAGCTGAGTTATTAACGGTCAAAATCTTTCATAATTGTGTTACATGTTCCATTTTTGGTTTTCACAAAGTGTACCCCCATATAGAAATCACAGACGTAGTCCTACGTCAAAACTGTTGATTACAGTCTAATGCTTGTCAACGTTTCGATCCAGCGGACGAGATCTTCATCAGGGCTAGTTTGAGATAAAGATCGTAAATCTTTTTGAGCGATAACTTTATAATAACTTTATGTACTCTGAGCTAGGCCTAGCCCAAAGACCGAAAGTTCGGACATGAACCATTGTAGCGTGTTAGATCCCCAGGGGATTATTTTTAAGTTTAATGGCGACCTGAGGGCAGACAAGATTTATCCGCCCTATTTTAGTGCAAGCTTTAAATTCCCAAATTAAAATTATGGTCCCTCCTTGGAGGGCAAATGGATTTGATATGACCAAGCGCGCTTTTGAAAAATCAGTGAGTAACCAGCTTTTAATTTACTAAGACAGCACTGATACTTGGGCATTCACGCAAGTCTATATTTTTGTTGGAAGTACATAGCTACTGAAGCATAATTGCAACAGTTTAAATTCTTCTATCACCCAAACTTCGAAGTTTTATGTAAGTTCCTGAAATTTAACTCCTCGTGTAGATTCGCCCTTGTCCTTTTATTGAATAAGAAAGAGTAGACGTTAGACATTTTTCGGAGAATTAAAGATAACAATAATCATTCGAAAATGTCCCATCACATTGAAGGCATAAATTGTAAATTTACTACCATGGTCATTGCATGAATTCAGTCTAACTCCGCGATCCATAATCATCAACATTTACCAAAGTTGCCACGTGAAATTGAAACCAAACAGTGACAACCTTATCTGTTTCAGTAATCCTGGTGTACGTGGGCTTCACGTTGGCCGTCCTGTACCGGTTATTTGAGCAGCGTGCCAAAGAACGGGCCCAGATGGACGAAGACGACATGGAAAATGGTCGGAAACCGGTCAAATTCACCCTCGGAGAGGAGTTTGACGATTCTTGGATCAGCTAGGATTTCAGAGCATCCAATTAATCGAGCCAAGAATGTTAGATAATTTAGACCTAGCTACTAGTATTAACCCTGTGCCATTGTTTGTAAATAATTTCCTTCGTTCAAAGAAAAAGAAGTACAACGCCCATTCAACGAAAGCGTAAACAAGTTGAAGATGGTACAGTCATTGATTCGATTGATTCCTTGTATTGAGCTGTTGTTGTTACTGAGCGTGATCATCAGAGGAGCGGCTGATCGCAATGACGTAGCTCGTAGATTTGTGATCCCAAACAACAACCGATTGCACTATCTCGGCATTCGGCGGCGGTGATGCGGTGGGGCCACCACCAATGATCTATGAATCTTTGAATCCTGCTCCTTATCAGCAGTTCGGCTCATGGAAGCTGTGAGAGAATCGTCCAGAGAAGCACTGCTGTTAAAATTTGAACTCAGTCGATCATCGGAATCGCTGTCGGTTGCATTTATTTCGGATTCTAGAAATGGACAGGCAGACAAGGCGATACATTAAATTCAATGGATACTTGATCTTCGCTTTCACGTTGGTCATCGTCTTCTACGAGACGTGGTCGCTGACGATTGACACGTTGTATGCAAATCAGCAATACATAATCATCGAAGAAAGTGCGTGCTGAATGAAAGATCCAGCAATTGTGAGAATTCAAATTTCTATTCCAGACGTCCTTATCAGGAGCAATTTGACGGGACGATGGGTGGCTGCAGTGATATGGTTGATTGCCCTGGCGGCGTACTTTATGGCCATGCATTGGGAGGATGCGGAGTTTCTCAAACCGGCTATACTTCTTTATGCTGCGGAAGTGCTTTTAGTTCTGGCGGAGGATCTGATGCGAACTATACGGGACGATGGCAACGAGCGGTTCATAAAAGATGAGCAGCATTTGTTCTCTTTCACGGGTTTGAGTCAATCAACTGTCAAAGAATGGCGTGGCCATATTGGATGACGACTGTTTTTCTTTATTTTAGTGATAGGGGTCTATTTGATGTATACTTTACACACGCTGCAAGTGATATTTCAACGATCGAGTCTGAAGGGGAAGAGTATGCAGTACAAAGTGAATTTGATCAACTGTAGTGGTGAAAGCCATGCAGTGTGAAGCGATGGTTTATGTTTGATTTTCAAATCATATTTACATGGAATATTAATAAAGCATTTGAGTTAATAAAGGGGAATGATATTTCTTTTTGGTATCAAACAGACGATAAGATTAATTACGCTGGACATTATTGAAACATTTCACGCTGAACAATGCATTGGGACATAAGAAACGTTGACATATTCTCTTAGTCGACTTTCTCATGGCATCTTCAAGGCAATGTTATGACATTCCCAACTATTTTCAGCACACAGATCGATGATAAAAGCTATTATTTAGCTTCTAATATGACAAACACAACAAGAAACGGTTCTGTACCCAAATTATTAACGAAAGAGAAAGTCGATGAAGAGTATCGATCAGTGGTGCTTGAGACCTAATGCATTGTTCAGCTTGATTTGTTTGAAAATTATTAGGAAATGTATTTCGGTGAAGTCTAATGGACTCTGAAGCTTATGAATAATATGAGTGATAGAAAATCTCCTAAATAACTAACTGACTAACATCGATGACATACATCGTAGGCAACATATCAATCAAGCAGACTGTCAACTTTGCCAGAATCCTAGTGACAAATGCAGTAGCGATCCGGATGAGCAAAATTAGAACCACCAAAAATACACGGTGGTTGAAGCTTACGAACTAACCAACTAAATGTAGTGCTATCTCTTCTTCTGTAAGCAAAACTGTAATCAGTTGTCAGAGCTTGAAGTAAGTTCAGCTTTTACGACAACTTTGTAAATTTTCCGTGGAAGAAAAATTGATAGTAAGACACTTCGATTTGTAATGGGTAACATTTAACATCACTATCAAAGTCGTTCGGAACTTTTAAATTTAAGCATAAGCATGAGCATCAGTATGATTGACCGCCTACGTTTGCTACTCTGTTATTACCAAATCAGCTGTAATTACACAGAGAACCAATAGAAGATGCTTGGGACAATCAATCATCATACCGGCCGCGCCCGAACGCAGGTCAAGAAAGGAATAGTTAGGTGTGTTGACGTGATACTCGCATTGATGGAAGCCGAGAAATCTTCTACACTTCCACGAGGAATCACTGGGATGGGTAAGAGGGTTGGATTTGCAGTAGGGGGTTTTTTTTTGGTGAACGATAAGCTGAAATGATGTCCTAAATATAATATAACGTGAAGGAGCTTGGGATTGAACCCACAGTCTTCTGCTCAGTAAGCAAAAACTTTTGCCACTAGGCAAACGAGCTCCAGTTAAGCTGTTATTACCATGCAGTCATATTATCAAATAAAACGATTGACGAATCTTATATGTGGATGGGCCTGAGATAAGACTCATGATGTTTTGCTCAGCAAGCAAAACGGTCGCTCTAAGGCCACAGAGTCCCTCATATAACATCATACCGTTACTCGAGTTGTTGTAACCATTCAAACCCGGTACTGACGACGCTGACGATTTTCGCAAAATACACAATAAATAAGCGATTTGACCACAAATCTCTTTAACATGAAAGGACCTGGGAACACGTTTTGCTGCTCGGTAAGCAAGCCACTGCAACCGACGATCTTTCAAATTCGAAAACTAAAAGCTTCGAAAAAGTACTTATGCTTTCATTAAGTTCCACTTTCACGTGACGTTCAATGTTTCGATTTGCTCTTTACGCCTTGTTTAGGCTAACAATAACAAGCTAGGACCAACGTGACGATTGTTTCAGCCCTGGTTAAACAAGCTAGTCAAATGAAATTACGTTCTCGAAAGCTAAGAAAAAAGAGGTCACGTGCGATCGAGATTATCCCGGCAGGAAACAAACAGATTGCTTTAAACTGGAACAAGCTCACCAAATAAAATCACCATTGTAACACAACCTTCAACAAATTTCGGAAAACTTCGAAAAGAAAGAAAAAGAAAAAAGATACGCACAACCAGTCCATTTGATACACAACTTGCTGCCGTGTTTATTAAGAAATATCAGCAACAACTTCTCTTACCTTACAATAAAGACGATAACCACGGAGCAATTAACCCAGTAAAACTTTTCCAAAAGTATTCCTTTTTCCAACATTTTTTTTTAAATATGATTTAAATTAACTTTACAATTCAACAGGCATTGTGACTACTTCTCCGAGTCTTGTCACTATTAACAAGACATAAGAAGTAACAAGGACTAAAATGTGTTTCTTTGATTACCGAAAAATCCGGCTCCCCTAGTTTTAAAGTGTTTCGCTGTGAGATCCTTATTCTTGCTACCACTTCGAAACTTCAAGTGCACAAATATCAGCTTCCACGACACGTACTACAATGAAACTGTTACTCCGCGTTTGCTGCGCTGCAGCATACAAGCAGTAGCAATTTCAGGTGAAATGGGGCTCTAATTTCCGAGGTTTGTGTAATTGAAAATTCCAGGTGGAAGTGCATAGCCTACGTGGCGGCCATTTGTGGACTCTACAAGGAATCACCTTAAGTTGTCAGGACTAGGGTTCAGAGGTACATCTTATACCAGTAACGCACCACGAAAAGGTGATCTACCAGCGTTACTGGTTCGTTCGGAGCTATATTTAAGCGGTATAAAGGGTGTTGTATGTATGTATGTATGTATTCAATCTATCCCCCACTGACCGGCAGTGGTATTATGGAAGAAATTTGCTTTCAAAAATCCTTGATATAATAATTTATAGCAAGCTTAGTCCGGGAGTTAGAAAGTGATAGCTCTGAGAGACTAGCCTAAGGCTAAAAATCTTTTTAATAAAGCTTTAAAAAAAAAAAAGCGATGGCTCTACTGCAAATTCCGCAACCCATTTCAGAATGCCTGGTAATTCACGCCCATTCCGAAGTTAAGTTCAGATACAATATGCCCCGCATGTAAACACTACCATTATCATATGAATAATGGTACTGCAAACACACTTCCAGATTTCGACATGTGATGTTTCGAAATTTGGCGGGTATTTAGTAATATATGGAAATATGCATTTATGATTGATTTATAATCAGATGGATTTTACCAAATTCTGCCTCCGAAAAAGCACCGGTTTGTTCACTCGCGGTAATCGAAAAAATATTCCGCGTTGTTTTTAAAACCGAACACAACATTATGGATCACATGTGGAGTTTTTCATTTGCACCGATTTTTTGCCTAACACCTCATTAGCTTGAATCCTCCGGAAGGCAAAACGCCAGCACCAAAAAAAGAAAAAAAAAAACGCCCGTTAAAACTCTTCTTGGGAGGGAGGCAAAGCACCAAAAACAAGTGAAAAGAAAAACCGACCAACGCAACACCCCAGCAACTCGAAACAAATTCTTGTCACAGAGTTTTCACGTTAATTACAATATCACTAATAAGCTTCTTAAACCGCGATAGATCTTATCCGCGAAAACTAATGTTTTTCGACTTGGTACAATTCAGCGCAAGCGAAAACAAAACCAACCGTTCACGGGTAGAGCCTACTGCGTTTTTTGACAAGAAACACTCCTTATGTGGCATCTACACGGTAACCGCAAAATACCCAATAATGACTACAAAGTAAGCATTTTTGAGGGAAACTGGGACTACCCATTAAATGAGTAAAATTTTACCCATTTATGAGTCATTACAACTACAAAAATAAGTAGTAAGTATTCATTTTTGAGTAACAAATACTCATAAATGGGTAATATGTTTACTCATTTAATGGGTAGTCCCAGTCTCCCTCGAAAATGCTTACTTTGTAGTCATTATTGGGTATTTTGCGGTTACCGTGTAGGGGCAAGCCAGCTGTACTCCGAGCTAATATTTTTAAATCGAGTAAATTTGAGTTACTCATAATTACTCAAAAGTGATCAAAGTAGTCCTATGTCAACAAGTGAAATCAGGTCAACTGTCATCAGTTTGAATAAACATCGACGGCAACTTGTGATGAGGCTCCGGAACCGATTCCGGAGATGGTTGATTATACAGTTTCTATCCTAACAGCAAGGCGGCCTATAGTATACCGTCGATTAAAGCGAAATAGCAGTTTGGTGAACACTCCCCTAATAAAAATAACCATAAAAGAGAGCTTAACGACGTGTTCGGGGTATCATCCAAACCATTTGTGGTTTAGTTTACCCATCCGGGATACAGTTCGTTTATGGTATTTGTTTATTAGGGTCGTGTTTATTTCAGTTACCGTGTGGACGTAATTTGTGATGAGCCCCGGTCCGTTTCAAATTGTATCATTTTTTATGTACGGTCCATGTATTTGAAATGACGTTTCACATTCATCTAGTGATGGCCGATTTTCATTAGAATTATCGATTAATCGATTAACGAACCGAAAATTAAAATATTTGTAATGGGTTAAATCATGCCGATATAAGCATTAACTTCTCCAGAGGATCATCACCGATCGTTTCAAACATGTGCTGCACTCTCATTGGTGGAAAAATGGCAGCACAGCGAACAAAAAAAAATCGATTAGTTGTTAATCGAGTAATTAAAAACTAGGACACCTCTGATTTTGGTGTGTTTGTTTTGATAAAAATGAGCGCAAAATTTCATCTCTACCGAGGGGGCAGCAAATCACAAAATTACCTTGAATACGGGGGGTATTCATTGGATGAAAGGGACCGTGAAAGAGGACACTAAAATAGAAAGTTTTTCTTCCGACAGTTTCATCTTAGTATTCATCTTTGGTTTGGTGGTGGACAGGTATAGTGGTATGTCAGTTTCACCGCTACTGTTATAAAAAGAACCTGAATACCCAATCACATGGCACGGATTTAAAAATATTGATACATTGTAGTCAGTAACATGGGAGAGCAATAATAAATAAGATTTCTACCCAAAGCGATTGGTCTGATTTAAAAATTAGGTCTGTCATCCTCAAGGCCCACGCACATTAGATCCAAATCGGACGCGTTGCGGCAAAGTGACAGCTAAATCTATTGTCTAACTGTCAAATTTACGTCAACGCAACGCAAACGGATCTAATGTGGGTGGCCCTTCATGCTTGAATTTGAAAATTGTAGAGGTGTTTGTCGTCGAGCCATGTTACATTAATGAGGCATATTGTGTTTTAATGCATAATATACA